AAACAAAAGAGACATATAACTTTAACTTTTATCTAATTTATGACAACATTTTTAAAATTATTACATTTATCATTTGACGACGAAATATATTAAATAATAATAATTTAAAAACAATTAATAACATTAATAGTAAACAGCAATCAATACTAATAAATAATTTGTAATTAAAATTAATTAATAGTTTAAATGAGTGTGAATTGATGAAACTCAAACAATACATAACACAACACAACTGAGTGTCGTACTTACAAAATTTAAATAAAGCAATTGTCGGAGGAAAAGAAAATATTTTGTTGGTCCACCTTCTTAACAAACAAACAATCGGTCAGCTACCCTCTCCTAACTCTTCTTTATAATCCCACATTTTTCTTTTCATTTTTCTTATTTAAATCATATACTTTCGGTTTATTCTTATCGGGTTTTTTTACTCTAGAAAGGAATAAAATAAGCCCATACATTCTCAATTCTTATATCTATCAAAGTCAAGATCTACCATCTGAGATATCTTTGTTCAAAACTTGACACATTAAAACATCTTTATTTCTCGAGCCTCTATTGAAAAGGACATGTTAGAGTCTCATATACAGAAATATATATATATATATATATATATATATAGAAAGAGAGATAATATATATATATATATAGAAAGAGAGAGAGAGATATGTATAAATGGTTAATTTATAGTCCAATTATGGATCAATATATGAACATAGCCAAGTAAAGTCATAAAAAAATGTTTTACGAAGGTGTGGGTGAGTATGAAGATGATTCAAGGATTGAACCGGGTTCATCCTATGAAACAAGTCCTTTTACAAGTCAATTTCTAGCTTCTGACTAGCAGAATCACACCGAACCTCAGCAAACCCGACCCGATTGTTTGCAAGATCAAATTCCATCCACATGTTTTGTTGATGGTGATGTCCGATCACGTATGCTTCAATCCCTAACAAATCCGAATTCCCAAACGTAAAGCAATATATGTCATCACTCCCCTTCGTTAAACCCGCCACTTTATACAGTAGCCTTGGACCCGGAACAACCATTTCGGCCCCCCGAAACATCATACTTACACTAGGTAAAACGGGTAACCCGACTCGACTCCGTTCAACCCTGTAACACAGGTCCATCGCACCTTGAAACACAAAGTTCGGATCCTCGTACACCCGTAACACGTTCTTGGTTTGTTTCAAGAACTCGTTTTTCAGAGCTGTGTAAACAGGTCCAAGAAGAAAAGTGAACTGGGTGCCCGAATCAACCATGGTTTGACCTGCTCCGGTGTGGTCCGGTTCGTATATGGATTTGGGTAACGGTAGAACCGTTTCCGAAACCTTGATTCCTTCAAGCTGAACGGTGTATGCAACCCGATCGAAATACGGTAACGGCGTCGATATTTTAACCATGGCTGTGTAACGTAACGGTGGGAGCCAAGAGAAATTGAACTCCCCGAACAGTAATACGCCGGTGGAATCCAGATCCGATATGCAATACGAGAACTTTGGGTAGCCCATTTGGGTAACCAAAGACAAGGAGCCCCGATTCAGGCCCATTAGCCCGGTGGTTTTCGAATCCTCATCTTGGTTCGAGCTTGAATCCATATCCATGCACCCGAATATTACTCCCGGAAGAACCAAATCCGTGAACCGAAAGGCATCGTGGGCGAGATTGCCGTCGACGGAAGTGGCGTCAGCGTAGGAGAGAGTAGCGTGGCAGAGTTTTTTCGGGTCGCAAGAAGCGGGCACGGTGAAGTCTCGAGTTCGGGTCATGCAAATGGACGAGGTACACGGAACGGGGGTGTACGATGTAGAATGTAGTGGGTCGTACGATAAGGGCGTTGTTGGTGTTTTCTTACAATGGAGCCATGAGAGTTCGCTGCCGGTGTCGAGGACCATGGTAACCTCCTGTGGAGGCGAGCCGACGGCGAGGGTGACGGTCAGAGTAACATTGTGGTGAAAAGAGAGCTTCTTTGGAGGTTTCGTGAGGGACCCAGATGCAATTTTTTGAACCTTGAGGGGCAAGATTGCATTTTTAAACGAAAGTGAGAATCTTGATTCTAACAATAAGCAAAAAACAAAGAACAACTTAGAAAGACGAAGAAGATGAACAGAAGCCATGAGATTTGGTTCTGTTGGTGGGTTTTTGTGTGGGTTTAGTTAAAAAAGATTGGTTTTTTGTCGTTGTTTCTCTCTCACATAGAAACACACGCTGACTGTGTGTGTAATGGTGGCTATGTTTATGAATTATATAGTGGTAGGAAAGCAGACCATACTATGTACTACGTGTGTTTGATTTAAGCATTTTTGTGGGTATTGAAGGCCCTACCAGAAAAAGGCACATAGTAGAGGCCTTTCTTGTTTTTTGTAATAGGTTGGTGTGGTCACCCCTTTGTTTGAATTTGAAATTGGATACAAGACTAGTACCGGTTCGTAGATGGAGGACCGGCCATATCGAGGTGGTCGACGGTGGTGATCATTGTGGACCAATTGGTGAAGATATGAAGATACCTAATTTCGAAGATAAGGTAGAGGTTTAAGCTACTTTTTGTCTGATTGTAAATTGAGTTAACATCATAATTTATAACAAGATAAAAAAAAGTAACAGTTTTAACAGTAGTTAAATATTCGCCTTTAATTTCGTTAGTAATTATCTTTCTTAATGTTTTTACTCAATCTTAAAAGGGTTAAATTTGTTTGTATTGTATCGGACTCTAAGAGTACATGTCATCAATCATGTATCCAGAAGGAATGTGATAAAATTTACTAAACTATCTCACCCACAATCATCTTTTAAGAGTGCCATCAATTTTACATGAGATTGGGTATTGTAAAACACCCGTATGGTCATTGTTGTACTAAAGAATCTGGAGTGGTATCAATTCACTCATAGGTGTACTGTTTTGCTTATTTCAAAAGGCAAACTGATGGGAGGAATTGATACACGAAATAATTTATATGTTCATGGACCAGTAGGTGTAAGAGATAAGGGTTAGAAAGAGGTCCAACTTAAAATGAACATAACTTTTGATACGTTATGAAGGCACGAGCCTGGTCCTACCACATATGGATGAAACGCTCAAGACCCGTAGGGCGGTTTGGCTCACAATCCACATAGATCCCTGAATTCTACATCCAGAGCCCGAAATCCGACTCTAAATACCATTTTCCTGATTTTTATTTTATTTTATTTATTTTATTTACGATTCCATTCAAATAAGAGAATCATGTGAAATCAATAATTTCTGATTTTTACCCCCAATTTAAGGAATATTTTTTATATGTTTTAGTGACAGTTAATTTTGAGTTTTTTGGTCGACATATCAAAATCGAATCGTTTATAAGAAAAACCTTTTGTAAATTTGAAAAATCATCAATTAATATACGGATTTTACTATAACGTATATATTGGATATGTTTTTGTGTCGTTATCTTGAAAATTATGAAATGGAGAATTGAAGTTAAAGCAAGGGTATTTTTGGACCTAATACGACGATTGAGTTTTATCTACTTTTGATGAAACCGAATTTTGAGAATTTTATAATACAAGGAGTTGAATATTTAATATAAAAAAAATCAAAATACGGTGAAAGTGATGGAGGAAATGGTTATTTTCTAGAAGACCTTTTTGTGGAAACCAAATAATTTTTAATTAAAATTTAAAAGAAAATTCAAAAATAAGAATATGGTCTATGCTTATTTTACAGGTTGTCGTCGATTGAATTCAATAATTTTTAAACTAAGTTTATAAAATAAAAAAGAAGGTATCTTTTTTGACTCTTTATAAATACAATTGTCTGAGTTAATTTGTATAAATCTCATAATAAATTTAAGGAAAATCTTCATTAGTTTTTATGATACTGCATACTGTATAAACAGTTTAATCTTGCTTGTTTACAAAGCTTGTAAACGAATTTTTATTTCAAAAATATAAATTATTACCGTTAAACTTTATTTTCTATATGATGCTAAAAAAACCTAAATTAGAAAACAAAAATTAAAAATTCGTCTACATCATTATTTTACTTCGTTTAGGTGGTATAACTTTTGATATATTTAAAACATATATAGAATCTGTCGAATTGAATCAAAACAATTTTTTATGTACAATTTACAAAATGCTCATATATAAAATTTTAATTAAAACTCGATCCTGATTATTTTAATTTAGACTTTTTATCTTAATCCAAATAAGGTGACTCCTAAAGATTTTAGGTGCAAAAACTTAAAAGCTACCAAAGCTTAAGTTCAAAGCTTTCAAAACTTGTATAGCAAAATACAAGAATTTGTAATCAATGAATGTTGGCCACCCCCTCTCTCTCTCTCTCTATATATATATATACCCTATATATCTATATTATATTATAAAGCATTTGATAAAAACTCTTATAAATTATTTTTTATGCATGAAGATGAACAATCGTTGGATGAAATGTTGAAAATTCACTAGTTAATGATTATTTAGGTTAATTAATTTTCTTAAATTTTTAGAAAAGATATTGACGTAATTATAACAATATATATGTAATCAGATAATTTTTTATTTGTTTATGTAATAAAGAAACATTTATATAACAAAATATTATTCATTATATATATCGTTACATTATTTGGAACCTAGTTTATAATAAGAATAACTTATCTGACTTTATAGGTTATGTTTTAATTTTCTTTTCATAAAAACCTATGCTCATTTAAATGTGAACGTTTTTTAAAGCAAAAATTAAATTTTATTATGACAATATTATATAATATATAGTGTGATAATTTTAATATTTTGTTTAATCTCAATATCGAAAATAAATTATGTTATATTTAGCATGTGAAAGCAGACATGGTATCTGTTTCGGAAGTTGGTTGGACTTAAAGTTTGATTTATTAAATAAAATAAAATGAATAAATTGACCCTAAAATGTTTCCTGGGAGTCATAGAGCACAAAGAGCATGTGGATAATCGATCGGCTTGAAACTGAAAGTCATAAAAAGAACGTCGAAATAAGAACATTTTATCATGGATTCTTTCACGATGCTTGATTCTTAAGCAACATCTCCCGTTTGCCAAATCCATGATAAGCCATCAAAGGCATGTATGTGCGTATACATACAATGTGTATGTATGTATTTACCTGTATATATGTAATGCAACGAACCTAAAACATAAAATCTAATAACCTCTAAATCAACTTATTATTGTTAAATTATTAATTGTCACAAATTGAGCTCACATATCTCATTTTCTATCAATATGGGACAATTGTTACAGTCCTCACCCCATATAAATGAGCTCGCAAATCTCACTTTCCATCAATATAAGACGAGTTGTCACAAATTTCCTCACTCGAATTCATGATATCGTTGTTAAGTTTACCCGACTTCCGTCTTGTTTATTTGTGATATAGATTTACATATGCATTTACAAACACCTATAGAAATTCATCATCATGCTCGATGAGGTTTGCCCTGATAATAACCATTTTGTAACGCTCCAAGTCCCAAATAACATGTTGACCCTATAAACTGTGGCGGTTAATTGTAGCCCAAAATTTAAAGTTTATAAAAAAAACTCAAAAATCTCACTTTTTATATATGTGGAACGCATTGTTACATTGCCTCACTTAAATGATCTCATATAATTCGTCAGAGTGTGCGTATGTATGTGTTTGCATTTTGTGAGAGAGAAATTATTATAACCAAACTAGTCACGATTCTTTGTAATTTAATCAATAATTGGTATCGTGGAAATATATTAATTATTTGCGAATAAGTGACAAATATATGGTGACTTTTTGTTAAATAATATCAACCTTCATCTTCATCTCCATCACAAACTTTTTGGATTTTTTCTTGTCAATTAGAGGCGTAATTCATGTTACAAATTTTGAAAATAAATGTTGTATTTAGACATTGGAGAGCTAAATTGGTATTCATTTTGCAACACATTTGTTAGGTATGAGAATGGGCCTCGATCCGTGGGAGAATCCGGTCCATCCGTCCAGATTGGGGACAAGATTTTCCTACTAAATCGGGACGGGGATGGGGATCCTCGTTTGTCTCAAACCGGGGATGGGTATCGTACTCTCCGTCCCGTCCCGTACTCGTTATATATATTAATTAATAATATATATATATATATATATATATATGTATATTATTTATTTCAGCTAAAGTGGTAATTCATAATTTCCTATTTCCTAATTAAGTTTATAATCTAAAATTGTTATTGTTTGGATGTTAAGTCAAAATACAATTACTCGATAAGTTTTGTATATTACTCGATACGGTTTTATATTACTCAATATCTTTTGGTATATGTGACTTTAATTTTTTTTGGATTAAATTGATTTTTTTTTGTTTTAGATTATTAATTTTTATACGATGTTGTGGTTTTTTTGTATTAAATTAAATTCATTTTGGCTTTAGGTTTATTAAAAATGTTTGAGATTTAAACGTGTATGATCTTTCACATATTTAATTAAAATAAATGACATAAACGAAAAAAAAAACTCTCCGTTTCCTCGTTGGGGATGGGGATGTGGTTGTATTCCCCGACGGGGACGAAAATAGAGATAAGTAATCGGGGACGGGGACGGGGACGAGGATTGAGATCCCTGCCCCATTCCCATGCCTAACCTTTGTTTACATTTAACAACAAAAAGTGTTTATTAATGTTTTTTTTTGCGTAATTAAACATTTTTTCCCAAAAAAAAAAAAATATAATCGTTTTTTAATGTTTTGCTAGCGAAAACCATTTGTTAATTATTTTATTGTAAGACTTGTGATCAGGTGTGACCATTCATTTTTGTTAGTTTCATGAAACCATCTTTGTAGCTATAGCATAGTTCTTTTTTATCTTGTTTCACATGAAAAATGCTAAGCATGTATATAATAAAATATTGAACCTTCTGAACATTTACATCAAAAACACAACAAACCTTCACATATAACTTCACTAATCATTTATACTGGTCTCACGAAAAATGAATGATCTCACATAATCGCAACCTTTAGCTGTAAAATAATATAAACCACATGGTACACAATAATGTAATCATGTGTAATCTCGGTAGGATCAGTAGATGGGGTAACTAGTAAGAGACGAGAAAGCTAGAAATTGTTCAACATTTATCAAATTTATAGTCGTGCCTTTTTATTCATCTTGGTCCGATGTGCTTACACACGAGAGTCTACTTAATAGAGTATGAAGCAAGCAGGTGGCAAATACGCAATGCATGTGTGCGAGTCTTCACAAACCCAAAGTCGTCTGGCCCTTAATCTCTACCTCATAGTTTCCAATATAGAATAAAAAGACCGACTAGTATATGAGTAAAGCTTGTATTACGTTTAGATGGTCTTACATGTTAATTAAATAGTCATACAAGCTTCAAAACGATTCAAAATACCTTATTCAACTGGTTCTTACGTACATAAGAAAAAAACCACTTTTATGAACCACGAAGACTGATCATTTGATAATTCATAAAATTGTGAGAACTCTGAAAACCGCTAGCATCATGTGTTGTTTTATATGATTAAGATTTAGAATATTGATTAACATATATTTGTTTCACAATGTGGCACTTTTTGACGTGTTCATGAAACAAAAAATACATTTAAAAATGTTTTACATTGTGAACCAAATACATAAGAAGCAAACACACTGTGAAACAAATATATGTTAAAAATACATTAAATACTAGTTTTAGATGGGGAAAAAAACTCATTGAAACAATAGCTTAAGGTCAAATATCTAACGTTTATCACAATATATGAGGTTCTCATATGATTACGTCTCTATGAAACACTACATATACTCAACCCTATGAAAACCAATAGAAGACCACTAACAAATACTTGCGTAAGTTTTTACCTAGTCAGTTTAGGCTGTGATGTCTTGCTTGCTCTGAATCACCGTGCAGGTTCGGACTTTGTACTTACTCTAACTTTTGTATGCTTTTGATGTATCTATTCGTTATTTAAACTGATACTATTACATGATCGGACGGTTTCGCAAAATAAAACTTTGGGGTGAATAACATGTTTGGTAGAATCTCATCCTCAAGACCCTACTTCAAGTGATATTATTGGGTCACTTTAATTTGGTTAAATTGACGACAATGAATGAGACATGGCATGCTTTAACATACCCAAATGAACCATAACCACATGGTTTATGACTTGTCCTTTGGTTCGGCTTCAAAGGGTTGCCATCAACAACAAGGCAGTCGATATGGACCTTAGAGTCAACTTTGGCTCCATCTTTGACTTCTTTTTCTTATATTTTTTATGCCCAATTTCCCAATTGATTTTTTATTTTTACCATGATTGCACTTTTGGGTGCAGGTAAATTGAACTAGGCTTCTAAAAAGTCAAACGTAAAATTGGAATCTAAACATTCCAAACACCGTCCATTACACCAACCCTAACCTATTCACATGATTTACATTCATCCATTTCATCCTTTGCTAGTCGCATATTGCTGGCTATATGGTGAACATATGTCTCCACCTTTTAAATCAAGAAAACAGCCTGTCTCCAGCCTTATTTTGACTTCAATCATTGAACGAATTGTGCCAAAAATATATCCCCAATTTGTTCTTTTATGCCCATATTTTCACCACCACACAATCTAATCACGATTTCACCAAAATTATCCCAACAGGATTATGCACCAAATGAACACCAGCAATATGCTAAAGATTCTTGATTTTAGCATCATCTTTGTAGAGACCCAAATGAAGCAGAAAAAGAAAGTGCTAACAAGCTTTCATCAGTTGAATTCAATTTATAAGGTTTCCCCCAAAAAGAGACAATATCTTGACATATAACAGAAGCAAATTAAGCTGAACTAATGAAAAAAAAACTGCAGGTACTCTTAAAGATTCATTTGTTGTAATCTCAGCATGTTTTGATATTTACATTGACCTTGGATTTCAATCAGCCAATTTCTCTCACCATCTTCTAGGCTCGTTATGTGCATCGAATAAAGCAGTCCTTTGTCTGCGTGATGAGTTGCTAACTGTAGATGACAAAGATCTACTTCTATGGCTTGCTCTATCATCAGAACTAGAACTAGAACTCGAAGCCAAAGCCCTTCTTCCATTTCCTAAACAACCACCTCCCAGACAAGAAAACAAACTGCGAACCACACGTCTTAATCCATGGCGTTCTCTTGCCACATTCCCTCTTGAAGCCCATGAAATCCTTCTTGGAGCTCCATTGTTGTTGAACCCACCATCCATTTCTGTGAAAACCACTGGTAATTCTCTCTCGCCCCCTCTTCTTCCGCCAGAAAATCTCCCCACGGCAAACCCACCGCCAGGAAGCCGCCAAATCGTTAGCCCCACAGCTTCTTCTTCGGTGGCAGATTGGTTGTTTGCCTCATTGGGACCTCTGTTTAGATCCCCTGAATCTGTGTTTTCTGATGGCAATTCATGGCGGCAGACAGGGCACGAATTGCGTAAAGCTAACCATGGCAGGATGCAATCAGAATGGTATAGATGTTGGCAAGGCATTTCTTTAGCTTCAGTTCCCAACTCGAATGGTTCTTTACACACAGCACAATGTGATTCTGTTGAAACATGATTTTCTTGAATTTCAATAGTTGGCATTGCTTCAATTGCCGCCTTTGATGCAGGTGGATTATTGTCGATTCTCCCAAATCCATTGCCTTCCATTTGAGCCAATTGATCTAATAACCGATCAAAACCCGAGCCCAACAAAAACTCCGACATACTTGCCGGCAATGGTCTTAGACCCGACCCAGCTCCATCATCGTAATACAACTCAAACCCACCACCGGTGCCGGCTTCCTCGTTACCACCACCAGATTCTTCAACTGAGCTCCCATTGTTTGTGGGTCCCCGGAGAACGATGACCGGGTTAAACGGAGACCGTTCGCCGGCATTCCTTCTAGCACGCCGGAGCAACGGCGGGCTGGGACTCGGTCCGGGGCTCTGTTGGCCGTTTCCAACCATGTACATGGCCGCAGCAGGAAACCGACTGCTAATCACGGATCCATTTAGTCTGTTGGGACTATCAATCTCCTCTATGAAGCCTCCGTTGCAATCGGGACAAGTTAAAGATGAATCTTCCAGATGGGTCTGAACCCTAATGAATCGGTTGCATCTGTAGCACCAGTACGACGATGATGAAGACCCAACCGTTGACATCTATAATCTAGAAACTGATCTGACGGAATAAGCAAACCTCAAAAGAATTCAATATCTTCAAACGGAAACCCAAATCGATTTAGAATCAGCTACCTGATATACGATCTACAGCCTTGCTTTATCTTTATCTTCAAGAAAACCTGAAAGATCAAATCTTTTTTCCTCAAATAATGAATCCCTGTAAGAAATGAACCCTAAATACACAAAACAACACCCCCAAATTGTATAAACTGAGAAAAAGAATCTTTTTCAAACAAGAAATTGATGGAATAAACCCTAGACATGAAGATGGAAATGGAAATTTAAAATCGGGTTAACAAAGAAAAAGGAGTATAATCGGTGGAAAAGGGAATCTCTCCGGCGAAGAGAGATGATAAGAGAGTGGGTGTGATAAAAGAGAAGGAAGAATTAGAGATAGGTAAGATTATATGAAGGAAAAGGGAACGCGTGAGAGAGAGAGAGGAGAGAGATTGGCGTGACATTAACGCTTGCGATGACCAGACACAACGGACGACTTTAAGTGGAAGGAGTCAAAGTTATGATTTCAAAATTTTATTTACACATTGCTACCTTCATCTTTTAAGAGAGTTCCAGTTTTCATCTCCAATATATGATGTTGGGTAAATGTGTTGTAATTGTAATTGAAAAAACTAATAATCATAGCTTTTACTATAAATAAAATTATACGTAATAAATATCTTCCTCAAAATAGTGAACAATCGACTATAGGTACCAAAGATTTTAATTTACTTTTCAAAATATAGTTGCTAATAGAGGTTTGTGAATTTTGTTAGTACAATGGATTATTGGTGAGTGGCTACAAATGAAGGTCGTTTAACATAATGGTTTATTCCACATGAAGGAAGGTGAGCGATAGATAATTCATCCTATTTTAATGGATGGAGGGTATTTTCTTATTGGACATGTGTGTGGTATTAGTAAAGGAAAACGGTGTGTGGTGTATGAACGAGATACAGGTAATTTAGTTTGTACAACCACATATCATGGAGGAAGATGAATTATATAACTGAACGAATCTTTTCTCGATTAAATGAATGCATAGTATGTAATTTGTATTACAACCGAAATTAAATGGCAAAATTTTAAAACATGAGACAGATGATTTGAGAAATTTTTTGAAAATTTGTAAATTAAAAGGGCAAAACATGTAGATAAAGCAATAGTTAAAGGATGATTATTGTAATTCCGTCTTTACTTTTGTACTGGAGTCTCCTCCGGCTGGTCTACTTTTTTGAACGGTCAGGGGTGGTTTATTCTTTTTCCGTTTCGTGCTCTCCAAACTTTGGTCGATTACAGCACTGAATGAATCATTGCATACGTAAAATAAATTATGTGATCTTAAATCAAACATGATAACACCAACAACATCTCAATGGATATTTGTTTAAGACATCTCAATCTCATTCATGTTTAATTGTTTCTCTCTTGTGATTTCATCTGAACAAGGACAGATCCAGAATTTTTTTCAAAAGGTAATGTCGTTTAATTATAAGAAAAAAAATATAGGGAAAAAAATTTCAAACAGATACACCATTTGACTTAAAAAATGACACTAATAGAATTCGAATTTGAGTATGAAGTGGAATAAAAAGCTTGCAGACCAACTCTACTAAATAAAACATGTTCTCGTTGTAGTTTCGAAATATATACGGTGACTCACAACATATTAATACGGTTGCACCTTTCACGAACCTATTTTTTTTTTACCCTTCGACGGAGGAATAATACGGTGACACGTGCCACCATATGCCCTACTCTAGGTCCATCCATGCATCTGAATTTGGCTAATGGCATATGGCTGTTTGTTCTGCATCACTAACAGATTTTCTAATTCTTTTTTGTAAAACAGGGAATTAAAAATCAAAATCTTTAAAAAGAAATTACATCATACTTCAATAGTTTTTCAATTTTTGAGTTTACGAATATTAATTATATTATTAAAATATTTAGTACAATTTATAAACTGTTATTTCTCTTTTCTAAACATTTAATTCACATATTCTTATTGGTAGGAAAAATAAAATATTTTTCTCTCATATTTTTTAATAGTTTTTCAAATTTGGTCTGTTATTTCTTTTTTCTATTTATGAAAAGGTTTTAGAGAATCCCTTCAAACAAAAAACTAGCCAAAATCCCCACAAATCTCCATTTTAGGAAATTTATTAGAGTTGCTTTATTAGAGTTGCTTGTAATGATTATACCATCGGTCGATTTGACATAATTAAGACAACCCTTTTATAGTTTTATGTCCATTGCTTAATGTATTAAGTCATCATTTTTTTCAGCTCTACCCTCTCCGGTTCTTAATCATTAAAGCATAGGTCGATTGGGGCCCTTGTTTTCTTGGGCTCTGCACAAGTGTCTGTGTCTTCCTTGCCTAAGAAGGGCCCTCTTATTACCATTTATATTTTTTCAGATGAAAACAGAATCATATTGATCGAGAATCTCATTTCAATTTACATTTGAAACGCAAAGATAATTGATGATTTTATAGAACAATATAATACAGGTTGTTGTAAGATTTTGTTATAATGCTCTTTTTCACCTCTTGAAAAGCAATAAAAGATCAAAGAAACGATACTTAAAACATAAATACAGTTATTCAATTTAAACAGATTAGATCATGTTTCATGTGTTGGTCAGTTAAACATTACCGATGGAATTAGATTTAATAATCCGAATGAGATATTATTGATAATATATTATTGTGCTCATAAATAAATGAAATCTCAATATTTAAATATAGTAACAATATAAATTATGCAAGTGGTTAAATAATACCGATTATTAAGCTATAAAATAACTCTAATACAATTTTATAAAAATAAATTAGTTTTTGAGATGGACGTCAATTAATTATTTAACAAAACCATGGGAATAATTAACACATTATTTTATTAGTAATAAGTCTTTGAATTCTTAATTATTGATTTAAAAATGTTTAATTTATATGAGTTAATATAACTATTAATGATTTAATAGCGTGCTTTTAGCATCACGTAAAAGTTATAACAACAACAATTTAACATTATTTTTATTTAATTTTAGAATATTTTATACGGGGTGTTTGTGATTGCTTATAAAAACGACTTATTTCGCTGTAGTACCGGTAATAAACACTTTTGAGTATTTGGATAAACAGCTTATACCGATGCCAAACCGGTAATAAGAAGTTTTTGAATAAGTTAAACCTTATTAACTTATAATAAGTTGATAAACACTTTTATAAAAAAAACATAAGTTATTTCAAATAAGCAATCCTAAACGCCCCCATAGCATCTACTAATGTTACATTATATATCGAGACATATGCTTGATACACACATAAGATTTCAAAAGCAACAACTTAGCGAGATCGTGTATTTCTTAGTACAAAGTATCACACATTGATCTACAATGAAGTTGATATTTTGTTACAAGAAATTATATAAACAAGTTACGATTCAGCATCGTTTTGCAAATAGTAGACCCATGATACATATTTCATATGATATCCATGTCATTGTTATATCAACAATGTATAAGTCACAACTAAACAAGTATATCTATTAAACTGGTGCATTTCTTGTTACACAAATAGCATCAACCACGACGTGCATATATAGACATGTAAATGCAATATATATATATATATATATATATATATAAACACCTTGATCATACAGTACACATATATCCCAATTTTTATAAAATAAATATAAAACTCTTATTAAACCCATATTTTAGTAATTGTTGGAGAGATTTTACCTTCCCTATGTTGTTGCCTCAAACTTTGACATAATTAAACAAGTTGTGAAATAGATTAGAGAGTTTTGGTCAAACAACCATGCGCATTAAGTTAAGGAAGAAAGTCAAAATTAGGTTCACCATATTAACCCATAAAATAATAGTTGCTTCTAGATGTTCTTAATTAATAATTACTCTTTTGTTTCTAGATACTTGACTCTGCTATAGTTTAAGCATCAAAATAATGATGTTTACATTTAATTTATTTTATACTTAGTCAAGAGATTATAATTTATTAATCCATGTTTAAGTTAATTTTTTTTAAAGATATTTAAACGGATCAAAATGGTACCAAATCTTTGGTATCTTTCTCTAAATTACAAAATTGTGAATGCTTCGTTTTTTTCAACTTCCAGAAACTTCTGATAAAAAATTGTTACCTAATTATTTTAAATGGATAAAACTAAAAAATTATGTAAAAGAAATTAAAAAAATTTAAGATTGATTCACGAATGTATTTATCATCGAATAAATTTATATAAAAATAAAAATAAAAATTTGGGCCTCGTTAGGTTTCTGCGGTACTTCTCAACTTTCATTCATATCTGTAGGGTCAATGGGCCTTCACCATTACTTTGGGCCTTGGGCTAACAAAATGTATTTGGGAACTGGGATACAAACTACAAAGAGGGCGAAAGCTATAACTACCACCCCATGTAACCATATCAATACTTACAAAGGGATGAGACGGTTATCAAAATTCATTTTGTTGACAGTAAGACGGTGTTTGGGATTGCTTATAAAAACAACTTATTGATTTATTTCGGTGTGGCATCGATAATAAGCACTTTTGAGTGTTTGGATAAACAATTTATACTGGTGTCAAACCGGTAATAAGAAGTTTTTAAAGAAGTTAAACACTTATGACTTATAATAGTTGATAAGTGTTTTTGTAGAAAAATATAAGTTGTTTCAAATAATCGATCCCAAACATCCCCTAAGGGGACATTTACTAAACGCTTACCGGGTAAGAACTTACTAAGCAATTTTCCTTATCGGATAAACATGACAACAGACAAGAATCTTACCCGGTAAGAGCGATGATAAGAATGGGGAGTCTTACCCGGTAAGTGAGGGTGTCGACTCTTACTCGGGTAAGCGCTTACCAGGTAAATTGTTGCATAAGATACGTTTTGATGTACTACAATCTTACTGAATAAAATAAATTATAGTGTTGACTCCTAACGATAAACGCTTACCGGGTAAACATTGAGGTAAACGGCTCCTTAAACATTTAATTTCAGTGTATCCTATTAGTAAGAAAAAATAAATATTATTTATTTATATTAATATGGAGTTCTAAAGATTTCTCTAAATTTGGAGATTTCTATCACCTTTCTTATTTTCTCTATTTTAGCGTATGGTATAGAATAACTGTTGGAATAAAAATATATTCTAAATCTCTATTTTAATATAGCTCTTAGATATGCTCTCAAGCCCTAAAGTGGCCACCAAGATTTTCTGGACGTAATTCATGACATTGTGTGAGCTTCATCCCGACAAGCATGTGCCCTCCATCATCAAAAGGTCCAAGAATGTGACCTCCTAGATGGGTCTTGAGGGGTGCTTC